ATATTACTGCTTTCCATGTTCATATTTATATTTGTATATACACATATATACATACACATATACTACTTTCCTTTCCATTTTCATATTTATATTTGTGTATACACATATGAACACATATATAAAAATATATTTTATACATTTTTGAAAAGGAAAATTAACTTTAGGGCAAATTTAATGAATGTTCAAAAATATTTTTTGCTGATCAAATTATCACTGTGTTTTAAACTTTTGAAATGATCCAAAAAATTTTTAAATGACTTAGAGTTACTGTTACAAAATGCTTGTCTTTTGATGTCACAAACATTATATACTGTAATCACTGGCCAGAGAGAATTGCTATAAGTATAATGAAAAGGGAAATGATTGAAGATCTCTGCAGCTATCCTCATAAATGAGGGTGGGAACACGATGGGCAGTTCCCAAGTTGAAAACAGAGAATATATGTGGATTTATATTAACATAATTGGTATTCTTGGATAGTTAAAAATGGCTAAACTGTAGGAGAAGCCCGAGTAATTACTGTTAACAGAGGAATAAATTTGAGGGAAATAATAATGATAACAGGCCAGCACTGTGGCTCATGCCTGTAATCCCAGCATTTTGGGAACCCAGGTGAGCGGACCACCTGAGGTCAGGAGTTCGAGAGCAGCCTGGCCAACATGGTGAAACCCCGTCTCTACTAAAAATACAAAAATTATCCGAGTGTGGTGGTGGGTGCCTGTAATCCCAGCTACTTGGGAGGCTGAGGCAGGAGAATCACTTGAAGCTGGGAGATGGAGTTGCAGTGAGCCGAAATCGCACCACTTCCCTCGAACCTGGAGGACAGAGCGAGACTCCGTCTCAAAATAATAATAATAATGATAATAATAATAATAATGCCACCAACAATACTAAGAGCTAACAATTACTGAGTGCTTACTAGGCACCAGATGTTGTTCTAAGTATACATGTATTATCTCATCTAACTATCCATAATACTGTGGTATAGACACTTTTACATCGATTTTATAAATAAGTAAACTGAGTTATGGAGAGATTAATGACTTGCCAGTAAGTTTCAAAGCCTGTGTACAAGCTCACGCTTGATTCTGGAGCCAGTGTTCTTAACACAGTATCTTCAGAATGTTAAACTAACAGGGTTTTAATTTACAGAATTATTCTTTCCACAATTAAAAAATAAATTAGGAGTAATTATTTTGAGTTCTTTCTTCTCTTCAGGCATTTCCCATGGTTCTTTTCAAGACATAATACATATCATTTAGTGTTGTAGATCTGAAAAAACAAAAGTAGCGTGAAGACCAAAAGTTTTTTAAAGAGATGGAGTCTCGCTATTGTTCTCTAGGCTGGAACTCCCAGGCTCAAGGGATCCTCCAGCCTTACCCCTCTGAGTAGCTGGAACCACGGTGTCCGCTAAGGTCAATGTTGAATCGTATCTTTGTAGGTCTACTGACCAGTTAGAAAGAGGTGCTGTATACATTGGTTGTTGTCTTATCAGAGTTTGATGCTTTTATATAGACCATTGTTTTCACATGCTAATACAGTTGAAAGCCACTACAGATATTTATATTTACAACCCAAAGCTAGGTTTTAACAAGAAACTCGTAACGCAAAGGTGAGAAGTAAAATAATTTAGCGCCAAGTAGAGATATATGTGCAATGCTCCTTTATTGGGCTCAAAATATACTCTTTTGTTTTATAAGACTGACAGGCTTGAAGACACTTTTATATCCATTATGCCTCCAAAGACAAAAATGATTACGTTTTATTTAGTAGCTTGCAAAGTTGCCAAAGACCATTTTTTCTACTCTTTCCCCGAAATTGGTTTATATGCTTATTAAAGTCATTTATACCTGTTTGTGAATGCTTAACATAGTTTCAGATTTTAAGATTTCCCCGCAACTTTATTTCCCTTGAAGTTTACAGCAAGAGGAGTTAATTTTTATTTTTAATTGCATTTATTCAGTAATTAAACTCCGCCAGAAAAACTTAGTGGACAAGGTGAGTTCCCCTGTGTCCCATGGCAAAGGTGCAGTGGGTGACATTGACCCATGGTTAGGTAACCTGGCAAGGAAAGACCCCGTTGTAACACATCTGAGCAACGAGACCAAAGAAGGGCTTGCAGCCACGAGGCGAAGTCCGCTTTTTTGAACAGAGAGCTCAGCAGAGTTGGGCGGCAGTCACGCTCAGCACTGCGGCCGAGGAGAAAGAGAGCGGCAGCATTACATTGCTGCACGAAGAGTAGGAAAATATGATGCAGGTTTGGGACCAGGCAACCGAAATCCCTTCTCAGCAGCGCCTCCCAAAGCCGGGCACCGCCTTCCTTAGGGTAAGGCGCAGAGTCCCCAAACCCGCGCTGAGCCGCGCCCCCAGCTCCTTTCTCTTTCCTCCGCCGCTAAACACAGACTACCACGTGAGCGCCGCAGCACGTCCCAGCTGTGCCTCAGCTGACCGCCTCCTGATTGGCTGAGAGCGACGTGGGCTGGCCGCCTGCGTGGCTCGCCATTGGCTCTCGAGGAACCCGCCTCCACCTCAGGTGAGGCGGGCCTGCGGGAGCGCGCGCCGGCCTGGGCAGGCGGGCGGGCGCGCTCCCGCCCCCTCCCCTCCCTGCGCGCCCAAGCGCGCCTCCGCCCTTGCCCGCCCCCTGACGCTGCCTCAGCTCCTCAGTGCACAGTGCTGCCTCGTCTGAGGGGACAAGAGGATCACCCTCGCCGTCGCTTCGGCCAGTGCGTCGGGCTGGGCCCTGACAAGCCACCTGAGGAGAGGTTCGGAGCCGGGCCCGAACCCCGGCGATTGCCGCCCGCTTCTCCTGCTTCTGGTCTCACGAGGTGTTTCCCGCCTCGCACCCCCACCTCTGGACTTGCCTTGCCTTCTCTCTCCGCGTGTGGAGGGAGCCAGCGCTTAGGCCGGAGCGAGCCTGGGGGCCGCCCGGCGTGAAGGCATCGCGGGGACCGATTCACCATGGAGGGCGCCGGCGGCGCGAACGACAAGAAAAAGTAAGCCCATTCCCTCGGCCGGCCGCCGGCGCCCCCGCCCGCCGTCCCGCCCTGGGCTCCCGGGCCGGCCTCGGCGCTCCTGGGGGTGGGGGGGCAGCCTTTTTGTTTCTGCGGCTTCTCCCCTCCCCTCTCTTTCCCCCAACCTCGCCGGCCGGGCTCCCCCGCTGTCCACGTCGCCATCTTGTCGTGGGGGGTGGGAGACGCCTCGAAAGTGCTTTCAGGGGCCGGGATCTGAGCCCTGCTTGCCCTCCCCGCCGGCCGTGGGGGCCTCGCGCCGCCCACCTACCCGCCTCAGAAACCCAGCCTGCTCTGTGGCCGCATCCGGAGGGGACTTTACCCAGCCCGAAAACCCCGGGAAGAGAAATGAGCTGCAGCTCGGTAGCCGCGGTTTGCACCCGGAGCTTCCGCTCCTTCCCGCCCCCATCCTCTCCGGTTCCATTGAAAACTCGGCCCTGGGGCGGACCCTGCACGCTGGTCCTGGCTTCCTAGTGGGCTTGGGGCCCTGAGTTCCCGACTGAGGGACTCGCGTGGTCGGATGCGATCTTGTCCTGTAGTTGTCCAGCCGTCGCGGGTGTCTTTGCCTTTGTGCATCCTAGGGATTTGCCGCGATGGCCTTAAGATGCGAACTTTTTAGTTTGCACGTGCAGGTTTTGTTTCGTTTTAAGCGCCTTAAAAAACTTGCCTAGACTGAGAGTCAGAGTAATGGGAATTTAGAGAAATAGCAACATTTTAAAGAGAACTTTAGAATTGGATACTTGAGTTCATATCACCTGTCACGAGAACGCAGATATTATAAATGAATACATGCCTCACTCATTCTTCAAATAATGAAAATGTAGGGGCTGGTTAAATGTAGGCAGACGGTTTTAATGATACTGAAAAAAGTATATGATGAGTGAACGAAATGCGGCACTAAAATGTTGCAAAAATTTTCGAACTCTTTCATTTTCCTGAAACTGAAGTATATTAAAGGAAAACCTTCAACATATATCCAAAGTAAGTTAATCACTCGGTTAGAACTTAATGCAAGTTTTATAAATCACCTTGAAGTCTGAGCCTAAGGGGTACATTAGAGATTAAGAATTGTGAGTTGGACCACTGGTATTAAGAGCGGACTCCCCCATCCCCCAACACACACACAGTTTTGTCCACTTTGGTATTTTAACTTTTAAGGAAATCATTTAAGGAATTGAAGATTTAGAGTAAGAGTTTTGGTTAGTAGACTGGCTTTGCTCTTAAATCCTTCCACTCTTCTGGCAGGGAGATTAATTTCCCTAATCAGTATCAGCAGAAGATAAACTTGTTTATATTCTTGCTGTTTTGTAGATCCCTTCTCCTGGTCCTTCTTCAATAGAATATTAAATTCTTAGTTTGTGTACACCAGAGAAGGCACTTACAAAATTGAAAAAGTGAGCAAACAGGTTTAAATTCATTCCAAGAGTTACCAGGAATTAATTGCAGTTTATTTTGCGGAGGTGATTACAGTGCTTTTGATGAAATGATAAAGCGGCAGATTACCTCTGTGTAGTGCCAGTTTTCTATCCTTATATATATTGAATCATACTTAATATAATGTATTAAATTATGCACCAATCAATTCCTTTTTATATACAGTATCGAACTCATTTCTTTGCCATTCATCAGTTCAGAATATCAGAAGCAGTTTTGAAATGAATGAATGAATAAATTAGCTGCTGTTCATCAGCCCCAATTCTAAATGAGTTCTTAGATTTTCCTCAGCTCATCTGTTACTTTCAAAATTTTCTCATTTGAAAACTTAGCAACTTTGGGTTGGATGGATTCATTTCTTAATATAGAAGTTCTTGATATAACTGAAAAATTAAGTTAAACACTTAATAAGTGGTGGTTACTCAGCATTTTTGGATGCTGTTTATAATAGATGACCTTTTCTAACTAATTTACAGTTTTTTGAAAGATAACTGAGAGTTTGAGGGATGGGGATTTTCTTCATGCAATTTTTTTTTTTTTTTTTTTTTTTCATTTTAAATGAGCTCCCAATGTCAGAGTTTGGGAAACAAATTTGTCTTTTTAAAAGAAGGTCTAGGAAACTCAACCTGAAGAATTGGAAGAAATCAGAATAGAAAATGGGTATAGCTATGATATTTTAGATTTAAGATAGGACATTTCATGTTGCCTCCTAGTTATAGGGACTGAACTTACTTAATAGCACATGTGTTTTGATTTTTAGATTTTTAAGGGAATGTCAAGAGAGTAATGATTCTGTTTCAGGCTTCAGGCCAGACTCCTTCAAAGTTTTCCAAAACAAATAATTACTGAATCATTAAAGTAAAATTTCTGAGAATAGATATTCCTTAATTTCCTTTCATTAACTTTGGCCATTAAAAGTCAAGAAGCTCTCTTCATTTATTAGCAAACTTTTCTCGTTGTATTTCTATTTTGATTGTCCTTTTGTTTGAGGAAGCAGTATATAGTGGTTAAGAGCATAGGATGTGGAGGCAGATACCTCTGAGTTAAGGGTCCCAGCCCTTCACTTGTGAGCTTGAGCAAGTTACTGAATGCCTCTGAGCCTCTTTCCTCCTTTTGAAGTGATGATAAGAATAGCAGCCATCTGAGCAGTTATTGTAAAGGTTAAATGAGATAATGCTTGTGAAGCACTTAGCCCATTGCAGGAGTCTTGGTGACACTGTGTACTTGAAAATAGATGTTACCTGTTAAAATTCTTATTTGAACTTCCACAACTCTTAAAATTCTTTTTTGCTAGTCCTTCCAGCTATTTCCTTTAGTTTCTTTTCTGTGTCTTCATGCGGCTTTTCTATCTCCTGAAAGTGAAAAGACTAACATTGGATCCAGAGCTTGAAAAGGGCTTTTTTTCCTGTTAAAATGGGCAAAAGAGTACATCCTTGGGTTATATTGGCACCTAGTATCAGTTATTTTTCTTGAGCATCTGATCTACTCTCTACTCCAGGCCTCATCCTTCACAATTCCTCACCCCTGTGTTTTCTCCCCAAATAGAAAACTTTGAGTTTACTCTGGACTTACATACTGTGTATGTAGAGTCAAACATACACAGCATTCTAGTCTTACTGTTGATTTAAGCAAGATATGTGCAAGACACTGCAGTCTTAGTACTGGCAGTAACTTAAAACATTTTTTGTCTTGATGCCAAAGTTTAGACAATTTTGTAAAAATTAACCTTTGTGAAAGATAATGAGTTGATAAAATATTCTCAGTAAAGCAGCTACATGATAGAAAAACTGTCCTTTGCTTATGAATTTCTCCAGAGTTAAGACCATTGAGTTCCATCTGAAGGCAAGACTTAAAGCTTGCCTTACTGGTCTGTTTTGTGGCTCAATTTGTATGAAGTCTATATTAGTGCACTCTTCCACACGTGCGTATTTACTGAACTATCAAGTTATTTTAGAGCATCTTGTGCAGTTTGGAGAATGTCAGCTTTTCTACCTGTTAACTTCCATTGTCTTTCCTTTTAATGCCATTGTCTATGGCTCTAATGGTGTCTGGGCTCAGGGTTTAGATTTTGTGGTTATATTCTATTCTTGTATGTCAAGAGTGGTGTATAGAAAGCTGAGGGGGATTAATTAGTCTCTTGACTGATTTTTTTTTTTTTTTCGGAAGAACTCAAAATAGTTCATTATGTTTGGTGGTGAAATTAAAAATTGATGTGCATGGATGTTAAAGATTTGGGTTAAATCGTGTGTTCATAGATGCCTTCTCTTAATATATCATTTTTTAAATTTAGATACTTGAAATACTGTATCCCTTTATCTAAGATTAACACAAGTCTGTTTCTTAACAAGGAGAACATAATCTAAATTTAAATGTGGTGTTGGATGAGTTTCCGATCAAGAAATTGATTTTTTAAACTTTGTGACTAGTTATCCAGTGGGTGGATTTTACCCAGTGTGTGTATGTGTTTTCTGCTTAACTCTGGAAGGTTAGAAAGATAATTTGAACTAAGACAAGCCAAACTTCTTGTTGCTCAGTATTTTTGGTAAAAATATGGTGAGAATGTTTAAATTAACGATAGGCTTTGGAATTTTAAAAATAATTATATCTCTTGGTCTCTTGACACATCAAGAATTAACTGTTTTGTATATGCATTGAGTATTAATGTTCATGTTTTCTGCAGTAGAAATTTATAAACCCTTATCTTTTTGCCAGACATCCCTTTAGAGAAATCTAATATCTAAAACCTGAATTTCTAAAACAAAATTAAAAATGTTTGTTTCGTAAAAACAAAAATTGTGATTACCTCATGGCTTTTTTCTTACAGCTTTTGATTGTTTTTTAAAATTGTAGTTTAAAAATATTAACATAAAATTTACCATCTTAACCATTTCTAAGTGTACTGTTCAGTAGTGTTAGATACATTCACATTGTGTAACTAACTTCCAGAACTTTTTCATCTTGCAAAGCTGAAATCATACCCATTAAACAACTCCCAGTTTCCCCTTCTCCTCAGCCTCTGGCAACCACCATTTTACTTTCTGTTTCTGCAAATTTAACTACTCTAGATGCCTCATATAAATAGAATCATAGGGTTTTAATATTTTTGTGATGGGCTTATTTCACTTAGTGTAATGTCCTCAAGGTTCATCCATATTGTAGCATGTGTCAGAATTTTCTTCCTTTTTGAGTCTGAGCAATATTCCATTATATGTACCATATTTTGTTTCTCCATTCCTCTAGCAATGGACACTTGGGTTGCTTCCACATCTTGGTTATTGTGCTGCTATGAACATGAGTCTGCAAATCTCTCTTAAGCTTTCACTTTTTTGGGATATATATCCAGAAGAGGGATGCTGGATCATATAGTAACCCTTTTTAATTTTCAAGGAGCCACCATATTGTTTTCTATAGCAGTTGCACCAGTTTACATTCCCACCAACAGTGCACAAGGGTTCCTATTTCTCCACATCCTTCTAAACACTTGTTTTCTTTCTTTCCTTCCTTCTCTTTTTCTCTCTCTCTCTCAGCCATCTAATATGTTGAAGTGATCGTTTTTAAGGGCTTGTTTGTGGATAACCAGCTGAAAGCTAACTACAGTTTGCCAGTGGAAGCTTTAGCAGAAAGAAGATTAAGTACCTCTAAAATGAGAATTCAATTTTTCTAGTGACTTAGATTTGCTCTGCCAGTACTTTTTCACAGAAACACTTTTTGGGTGAAATAGTGTACACCTGTTCTATTGTTGATAAAGCCCAATTTAATTAGGAAATTTGTTCTCTAAGATTTAAAACAATAATTGAAATAATGTATTTTTATTAAAACTGTTCCCAAGATGTTAGCTTTTAGCTGTTCTGGTGATCTCAACTGTTATTTATGAGTGTTTATTTTAAAATTTCACCTTAACCGGTTACAGTTTTAACCATAAGGATTATTTCAACATATGATTTTGAAAGTTTATTGTCTTATAAATGCGAAAATGTACTGATGGAACATAGCTTACTGTATGTAGTTCTTCGCTTGTTTGAAAAGTCACAATATATTTAGGCAAATTAATTTAAAAGTGTCTAGTATTTAATATTGCAGTTTTCACTCATTAAGGACAGGTCCCCTGTGTTCCCCCCCCCCTTTTTTTTTTCCAAGTAGTCTGAAAGGGTTTGTTTTTCCAGCTGAAAAATACTATGGTTAAAAAGAAACATAAGGTTTAAAGGTGAAAGTTGAAGTCTTTGAGGGTTGGGATATGTTTCTGTTCTTAAGAGTCTTGTAAATTCAGATGCTAAGCAAATTTCTTTAAAATGATTTCTACCCTCCCCGTTTCCATTATAAAACTGGGTAGGTTTCAATGGACAAAATCCCAAGTAGACTGAATTTGAAATTTGTGAGCTGGGCACGGTGGCTCACGCTTGCAATCCCAGTACTTGGGGATGCCTAGGCGGATGGATCACCTGAGGACAGGAGTTCGAGACCAGCCTGGCCAACATGGGGAAACCCCATCTCTACTAAAAATTACCAAAAATTAGCCAGGCATGGTGGTGGGCACCTGTAATCCCAGCTACTTAGGAGGCTGAGGCAGGAGAATTGCTTGAACACGGGAGGCAGAGGTTGCAGTAAGCCAAGATCGCCCCATTGCACTCCAGCCTGGGTGACACAAGACTCTGTTTCAAACAAATAAAAAAAGAAATCTGTGGTGTGAATACTGGTACCTGGTGTACACAGTGAGCTTTTAATAAGTATTTGAATTAACAAATGAGACAATGATTGAATAATTGGATGAACAAAGAGAATGCAGGTTTTTAAAAGGTTTCTTTAGAAATATTGTCGGCCCGGCACGGTGGCTCCTGCCTGTAATCCCAGCACTTTGGGAGGCCGGGGCAGGTGAATCACCTGAGGTTGGGAGTTCAAGACAATCCCAACCAACGCAGAGAAACTCCGTCTCTACTAAAAATAAAAAAAAAAAAGAAAGAAAAAGAAAAAGCCAGGTATGGTGGTACATGCCTGTAATCCCAGCTACTCAGGAGGCTGAGGCAGGAAAATCGCTTGAACCTGGGAGGCAGAAGTTGCAGTGAGCCAAGATCATGCCACTGCACTCCAGCCTGATGACGGTGAGATGCTGTCTCAAAAAAAAAAAAAAATTAAAAAGAATGTTTTAATTCTTTAGTTCCTTGTCTCTCTGAGATTCATTGATTGGTAAGAAGAAAGTTATAGAATCTCCTTTGACTTTTCTTGATATAGATATTTAAATTCTATTACTTTATAGCAAGGTTGGGGCTTGATTATTTTCTTTGCTTTATAATAGAAGAGCATTGATTATTCTCTTTGCTTTATAATAGAATACCATTTAAATAGGAGTTCCTTGAGTGTGTTTAAAATCATTTGATTTGGCTAAACTATTTTAATGTTTAATGAAATTTAAAAATTTAAAAATTTTGGAGGAAAAAATTTAAAAACTACACAGGTGCACAAAGAAATAAAAATCACCTGCTATTTCACTATGTAGAGACCATTGTCTACTGTTTCTCAATTCTGCGTTACATATGTATGTTAATAACTGCAGGATTAGGGAATGAGTACTGTTTTTAACCTGCTTTTTAAACATTTACATCTACATTTTTTTCCGTCTAAATAGTGAGGGTCTCAGAATTTTGTAGGATTGTGGTGATGGTTAA